GTACTAGGAGGAGTCAATTGTGAAACAATTCCACATTCCTTGAGATAGCCGTAGAACTCGATACTAAGATACTCTCCGCCTCTGTCAGATCAGAGCATCTTTATCTTCCTGCCTAATTGATTCTCGACTTAATGTTTAAACTCTTTGAACTTTTCAAAGGTTTTTGATTTATGCTTGCTTAAGTACATATAACCATATCCGTTGTAATCATCTGTAAATGTCACATAAAATCGATTAGCAACCCTTGTGGTGGATCTGCAGGGTCCACACATATCTGGGTGCATGAGATCCAAAAAACCCTCACCTCTTTCATAAGATCCAGTGAAAGATGATTTTTTCATCTTGCCCAAAAGACAATATTCACATTCATCATTTGGCCTTAAGTTAAATGATTCCAACTCTCCATCTTTTTGGAGTTGGGCGATGCGTTTCTTGTTAATGTGCCCAAGACGATAATGCCACAAGCATGCCTTGTCTAAACCATTAGTCGAATCAATATGAAATACATACATAAGCTATCAACACAAACCACAGTTTCATACACACCATTACAAGGTAAAGCTTCAACCATAAAAATGCCATTTTTATAAACCAAAATCGACCCATTCATATCATTAAACGAATATTGAAAACACTGTCTAAAAAGTTCATGAAAAGAAATATGTTTCGCATCATTTATGATGAATAACAACAATAAACTAAATCTAATCTAACATCACCACTAAGAATAAGACTATAAGTTCCAATCTTGGTAACAGGAGAAGATCGCCTATTACCCATGATTAGATTTATCCTTCCATGCTCCACCTCTTCACTTTCTCTTATCCCCTGCAAATTAGAACAAATGTGAAAACCACATCCTGTATCAAGGAACCAAGAATGAGTAGGTTGTAAGTTATTAGTTTGAATAGTGTAAATACCTGCCGACGATGGCTTCACTTTTCCATCCTTGATGTACTACAAGTACTTGCGACAACTTCGTTTCTAATGGCCCTTATCATTGCAATTAAAGCAAATAACCTCTTTGGGATCGTTAACAAAAGTAATATTAGAATTGGACTTTTCTTTTGGGCCATTGCTAGACGACACAACATGGTCCTTTTCCTTTTATTTCTACTTTGGAGCACCTTTCTTTTTCTTTCCTTTTTTTGCCCAATGGCAAGGACATGAGCATTTGTAGAGGTAGGAGTTTGATTCTTCTTCATACTTGACTCAACCGTTCGTAATAGGTTGTTGAGTTGGGCCAATGTGGTTTCTGTGTTGTTCAAATGATAAGCCAAAATGAACTGATCATAACAAGGTGTCAAGGAATTAAGGACCATGTCAATGGCCAATCCTCGTAGAAGTTCACATTTAGCCTTTCAAGGCACTCAACGTATCTTTGCATCCTTTGCACGTGATTGCAGACTGACTCTCATTCCTTCAACTTGCAAGCCATTAGAGCTTTGACGCCCTCATATTTTTTTGACGAGCTCTCTTGTGAAATTTTTCCACAAGATCCAAGTTCATCTCGTATGGCCAGTAGTCATCATAGAACTTTTGAAACTTAGGAATCATGGTAGCAACCATGATGCAAACAACCTTAGTCACATCATCATAGTGTTTCTTGTAGAAGTCTATTTCTTTAGGAGTAGCATTGGCCTCATCGATCTCAACGAGTTGTTTCTCAAGGACATACTTTTTGCCCTCGTATCGAAGAGTCATCTTGATGTTACACATCTAATCATTGTAGTTGGTGTCATCCAATGTCACCTTGGACATGATCGAGAGAGGCGAGAAGTTATAGGTAGATTTTTGAGAAGCAGAAGAATCACCAGAAGTAGACATCTATATAGAAAAAGAAGTTTTAGTTAGACGATAATAATCCTTAATATTTTAAACCATAATTAATATTTAAGGCTAGGATCTAATATAACAATTCACAACTAAGAAGATGGATGTTGTAATCTTATTGCGAATTTATGAAAGGTAGGTAAAAGGAATTCACCAATTTCAAACTATGAAATTCGTAATCTTTTGAGATTCATTGAATCTTATCAATGACATGTTTTAATTTCAGATTATGCTCTTCCGTTTGTGACTGAGATGCCGAGGATCACAAACAAAATGTGAATAACCATACAAATATGCTTGACACTCTCGATGTCATTTATCATCTCCAATTAATGTGTCGGTTAATCACACACACTCCATTAACAATTATAATTTTCGAGATGCCCATTATTACTCTTTATAGTCACTATTAGTGTGTTGGTTAACCATCACGCTTCACTAACTACATATAAAGCATAATGTGCAATTTTATGCATTATCATACTTTTCATATTTTCCTAAAGTAACTAAGAGTGAGATTTTAAAAAATGGTTTAGTTACTTATATCATTATACTTATTAACGAGATTATGTCTTATCAAATCCGTTCGGCTAACGATCCTCCACCATACAAGAGAGCGGTGGGTAAGAGTGGATACCCAATGATGATCATTTTGTTGCCACTTCCTTAAACTCCCCTTATAGTATGACTTTGTGAATGAGGCGTACTAGCGATTTGACTGACTTGTCTTATACATATCATATATTATTATTTTAATAGTATAAGGTGTATTTTAAAACTTTTAAACAATACTAGGTTTAATTTTAAATTTTTTGAAAACTAATATAAAAAATTAATTTAGTTTAAAAATAAACCAATTATGATTTAATATTTAACTTTGAATCAACTATTAATTAAATTAATTTAAATCATATAAGGATTAAATAATTATTTACTATTAAACTATTAATTAAATAATTTCAATTTAATCCAAATCCTTACCCTACTAGGTTTTCGAAAATTAAAGGGTATAAGGATTACCCAATTTTAGTTATTCTATTTTAACCAATTAAAACAATAATTGTCAAATAAGGAAATCCTAATATCCCTACCATATTTTCGAAACTTCAGAAGGAAGCAAGGGTTTCAAGAACCCTTGCACGGGTCGAAATTCATATCCCTTAGGGTTTAATTTCAATAGACCATAATTTGATCTATTCACCTATTATGCAAATCAATTGAAAACATATAGATCTGATACCACTGCAACCTAATTAGATCTATGTTTTCACTACTGAAAGCTATAAACTATGAACATCAAAAGAACCCTATGGAAACCCTAGAAATTTCGAAAATCATAAAAGGTTAGGGCTTAAATACCTTTTAGTTATTGTTATAAATAACTAATCAAAACCTTCTTCAGAAACTCTTTGAAGCACGCACCAGAAATCTCGTTCATGTGATGGTTCACACCAAAACCCTAGCAACTAGAAAACTTGAATAGAGAGGAGAAGGGAGGTATAATTTTAGCTATGCTCTAGAGGAAGTGATGGCCGAAAATATGAAAAGGTAAGGGCCTATTTATAGATGTTATGAAAACCCTATATAACCCTCATTTGAATATAATACTATTATTTCAAATTAGGTAATTATCCTTATTCCCTAATTATCTTCAAGGGATATTTTAGAAACCCTATAATACTCCTCAAAACCGTCCACCACCTGTGGAAGGTTCTTGAATCCCTTTTGTTCAACTATTGAACAGTTACAACTTAGGTCCTTGGACTTTTAATTAATCCAATTAGTCCCAAAATTAATTATAGTTAATTTCTGATTAATTCTTAAATATATAATACTATTTCTAATTAATATATTATTCTTATTATATATTAATAAATCATTTATTGTTATTTATTAACCATATAACAAATCAATAAACCATTCTCTCCCTCTAAAAGTCATCTTATTTAATTACTAGGTTTGAGGGTAACCCAAAAAGACTTTGCCCACTGTTCAAGTATATACCAATTTAGTTATTGGCTTAGACACCTAATCCAACAAAAACCCCATGCATGAAACCAAAACTCAACCATTATTCATATCTGGAACACTAAACCTCAAAGGGACCTCAAGGATCAATAAAGCTGCCAACTTTATGGAATCCATCCACTCAAACTCTCCCAAACTTGGAGAAATGAGCATAAAACCCTAGATCTAGAAGATCAATACATCAATATTAGAACTTGAGGACTTACAATGGTCCAGAGTATGTGTAATGAGGTGGTGATGGAACTTGATTGTTGGATTTATGCTCAAGGAGCGCCTTTCTCCTTTAAGACACCAAAAATCACCAATTAAGCTTCATGAACTTAAAAATGGAGGCTTGGGTTTGTTTGGGATGAAAGGGAGGTGATGGAGGCTGAGGGTGTGCAAACCCTAGCCATCACATCCCTTTAATAAGGGCACTAATCCCAAAAATTAGGGTTTTACATGTAGGCGGCCACCACATTGTGGCCACTATGCTGCCATGCCGTGGTACTCAAAATGAATGCACATTCTTACGCCGTGGTGCATTCCCCCACCACGTCGTGACCAACCAAAACTCCAAAATTTAAATCTTTAAATGCTAAAAACACGAAGGAAAATATACCTAGAACTAGTGTTACATATACAAATTATTGACCAAAGACAAAAGACTTGTATGATTCCAATGTGAAATTTCTTAAATGAATTGAAACTGAAAGAAATTTTAATTTGATGAAACATTTCAATGTTCTAAAACTAGAACTATTTAAATTTCAGTATTGAAAAATTCTTTTAAGTTTAAAAAACTAGTTAATTTAAATTTGAGTTTATTTTAGCAGCTTGTAGTTGTTATAAAACAAACAATTTTCTTTTTACAGAATACATGTATTTAATCTATCTCTTTTACTGCAAAGGTCTGCAGATATAATCTGCTGTAAGACTTTTTGTTTATGAAAAAACAAACACCTTATCCTATTTTGACATTAATCTCAATTTAAAACTAAAATAGTTTAACTTTGGAACTTTGGGTCATATCAAGTATCTTACGCATCAACCCAATATGAAGACCAAATATAAGCCCATTGTTAAGTCCAATGTGCTTATTTGATTATAGATTATTCATTATTGATCCTCTTAAAAATCTATATTCATTTTGATTTTTTTGACCATTTTCCGATTTCAATCTCTGTAAAATAGCCTCCTATTAAAACTTCCGACCAGAACACATTTTCTTGATGGCTTCTTTCTCTCTCCGCCGTGTCAATGGCGATCGGAGCTTCACCCCTCGTTTTCACCACCGTCCAAGTTAGTTCATCACCTTCATAATTCATTAACGCCGCCGTAATCCACCGACGGGCCTCCACCGGACCCTCAATTAGGACCCACGTAGTAATAACTTCATAATAATTCCACCAGCAAAAATCGTTTCCCCTAAATTCATCCACCAGCACAGGTACGTCAATGAATACACTACACTCATACTGGTAATTTGTTTCCAAAGAACTCAGCTTTATGTCTCCCAATCTATCACTCTATTTGGGTTAATTTCTCCAGACGATCCAAGATCCATGCCATTTTGCTAATTTTGCTTTAGTAATTGAATTCGTTTATGTGTTTGTATACTTAATTAACTTGTATACGTACGTGTTTATGTTGATTTTCTCGGCAGGGATTCAGTTGACTACAAATTGCCAAGCGTAGCCAATCTCGTTTTCCCCTTTTATAGGGCAACATAATCAGATAATTCAAATTAGTAGTTATGCAGAGGCATCGTAATCCTGCCAATGGATATAGGTCTAATCCTATCGGAATCGGCGGCAGTGCTGGTGGCGTAGCTGCCGGTGGTCCGGGTTACCGAAATTACAATCGGAGTGGTTTTGGCCGGGGTCAGCCTCCTCCACCTCGCAGGATTGATATCTTCTTAGAAGCTGGGAAATTAGCAACCGAGTATCTAGTTTCAAAAGGTTTACTTCCACCAAATTCGCTTAATGCCAAATGGCAAAATAGTAATCTGAAGAATCAGATCGGTGGTGCCGACGGCGTTTCTGATGCCGTTTCCGGTACTACTACTAGTCGGAGAAGGCTTTCCGACGATTACAGTGGTGCAACAGGTTCACGAGATGGAATTAGGGCTAGGAAAACAACGGGATCTTTCAAAAACCCTGCGTTTGAATATAATCATGAAATTAACCGAAGTTCTTCATGGTCAGAAAAGGTTAAAGGTTCTTCAGATAAACAAGGAGAGGGTGATTCCTTTTCTGGATCCATGGAAGAACAGAGATCTGGAAAAGATGGTACTAGTGAGGACCAAAAATCAGTCTCTGGTGATTTAGAATCAAAAAATCACAATACTGCTAACATAGAGACAACAATTGAGAACCAACAAAACCAATCCCCTGATGATAATCCAAGCATCAAGACTCCAAATTCAGATCAGGTGATTGTTGATGACTCGAAGAACCCTAACATGAGTACAGAAGAGGTTATTACAGATGATAGTAATCAAGATTCAGAGAAACCTATCGTTAAAGAAGAGAATAACAACAATACTGCAAACAATAACAATAGCAGTACTAGTGATCTGCTAACACTCATCAGGTTTAACAAAGTACCCACAAGAACACGTTCTTCCATTAAGGGCTCAAAAAGTGACCCGATAGACAAAACCCAGAATTCTGGAGAACCCGAGAACAAAAATCAAGAATTAAACGATGAAATGAAGATTGAAGAAGATGAAAAGTACAAATTTGGACATGGGGTATGCACAAGATCTCAATCTTTCCCTCAAAGATCCTCCATTTCTGAACAAGAATCAAGTGAAGAACACCATGGATATGCTAGATGCAGCTCTGATTTATTGGGTAGAGGTGAGAAACGATCACTCCAAATCAATGATAAGACAGAAGGATCCAAGAAGCTTAAAGATTGGGTTTCTCCAAACACTCAAACAGATGATTATGCAGAAGAGAAGCAACTTTTTCCTAGTTCTTTGTCTTCTTTCAAGATTTGTGATCTCAATTTAACGGGAGGCTCTGAAGTAAACGAGAATAATCATGATACCAATAAAGTCATTGCCTTTCCAGCAATCAGTCAAACAAAACAAGAGCCAGTGACTGTTGACTTTGACTTGTCAATGACGAATACAAGGCGGGGAGCTGATGGGAAAGAAGTTGAAATCATTGATTTGGATTGTGATTCTGTACAAGATGATAAAGATTTCAATAACTCAGAACGGAGGTAAGTCGAATATTTTTACAAAATGGAATTTAATTTATCACATAACTAAACATAAGACCTTTTCAATCACATAGGGAGGAAGCTATATTTACAGATCTTGAAAGCTTTCCAGATAGCATGCAGAGAGTTAGTGACATGCCTCAAGATGGTTATGGGCTTATGATATCAGAGTTGCTTGAGGCTGATATTCCGAATTCTAGTGTTTCATCTGGTGTTAATTCTATGCATAATGAGATTAGTCTCCAAAATGAAGAGGTATGTTATATAATTCATTTTTAGCAATTTTACTTTACCCTATCTACCAATATTGCTATTATGGGTAAAAATAAAGTTGGTTGTGAAAGCCTGAAAGGAGTAAAGTATGTTGCTATTTATGATGGTATTAAGTTTGAGTGATTTGATGGTTATTTCAGGGGATTCTTGGTGACGATGAGTCCATATATATGTCATTGGGAGAAATACCGATAAGTATGCCACAACTTTAATTTATTGGTAATTTTATTTTATTTATTTACTTAAAAAAAAAACGTTGCTATGAATGTTCATAACGAGGAGGTCATTCACGTCTTTTCGCACAGACGAAAGATCGATAGCCAGTTTTGGGTGGGACAGAAAATTGCAATCTTTGTCCAAGTCCAAGGCATGCCAGATGCAGTACAGCTTGTTCTGTCATGTCATGTCAGAAGACTTGATTTGTTTTTGTTTTCTTTTTCATTTTGAATTGTGGGCCCGTGTACTTATGGGTGTTTTTTTGGTGTGTCCTAGGTTTTGTGCCGGTCTGGGATCAGCAGCCGTCGCAGGGATACGATAAGCGGTATTAGAAAATGATGCATATATAGCATAAGTGTGTGTAATGTGGTATGTTCATTTGTAATAAAAGATGCCATTTTAGGTTATTTAATACTTTAGAGTTTGTGTATTTTGGCCTTTCTTTTATTTAGATGAATTGAACACATGGTTGATTATTATAATTGGAATGGTTAATATTTCTTTTTGTTATATATAATGTGAGATATGAAAGGAAAATAGAAAATTTGAAAATAAGACGTGTTTTGTTGTGTTGTCCATCGTGTTGTTTTTGGTTTAAATATGAAAATAAAATAATATTGTCGGGATCATGTTTATTGTTTGTAGAGTAAGTTTATGTCTTTGTTTATGTTTTTATTTATTTTTTAAATTAGAGTAGGTTATAAGTTAAAAGATGATGTTCATCGGTTCTGATTTTGTGGTTTGAATGTTTTCGTTACCTAATTTGGTATCCACGTGGTTGATTTATCGCTTGTGATTATTTGGAGAACCACCCATTTTGACGCAATTAGGTGGCAACAAATCCAGGGTACGATAATGATAACGTTATGCAATCGATCGTACAAAGTACAAACACTAGGCAATCGATCGGGTTCATGATATTAGGGTTTCAAATATTATTAATTAACAATCTCAAATCTATAATTTAACGTGAAACACATAAACTTTCATCGACGGGATTACGGGCTTTAAGTGTAAAATTATGTAAGTCCAGAGGGCAAGCGTAAAATTTCGCAAGTGCGAGAGGGTTATTTGTTAAGTACAAATCTTCATAAATGGTTCCTTAGGTTTTTAATATCAAGTTTATTCCTTAATATTTTTGCTCTCAAGAAAAGCCTATATGGTTTCAATTTGTTGATGGTCTTATCTAAAAACACTTTTATACCCTTCTTTATATTATTTTATATTTATTTAAATAATATTAACATAAAAATATAAATAAAAAACCCTATTATTCCTAACCCTCCTCCCAAGATGTGAGTTATCTTCCCCATCTTAATTCTCTTCCCTTTTTCTGGTTTTTGGCGGCCCCACGTCTTCGATCACTCTTCCTTTCCGACGACATTCAAGATTAAAGCCTTAACCACTTCATCTCCTCAATCATTCTTCTCTGATTTAGCTTCCGTCGATCTTTAAAGACCAGGTAAATTTCTCTCTGATGTCGTCGATCTTCAATCAATCTTCTATAATGTATCGTCATCGATCTTTTTGGCGCATATGTACTTGATTCATAGGAATGCTAACCAACTGATGAACAAAGTTGTTGTTTGCTTCCATCACGTAGGTATCAAACAAGAAATAAGACCCATTTTTTCCTCATCTCAAAAGCGCACAAATCCACACCCTCTTCTTCTTCAATTATCAAATTTTCGGTGCTAATTTCTTGTTACTGTAACATCCCAAGTTTTGTCATTTGTAGTCCCTGGGGATGGAAGGGTAAAGTCATGAAGAGCCTAAGGGTTAAATTGTAATTTTGGGACCAGGAGGAGTACGTTGCGCGTACATAAGGGTACGTTGAGTGTACACTTGTGTACGCTGAGCGTACTCATAACAGAAGGAAACCCTAATATCTCGGGTTGGGGGCTATATAAACATCCTTATGGCTCATTTTCTCTCCTCCTTCTCAACCTCCATCTTCCAGAAACGTCCCCTGATGTGTGTAAAACCAACTAGTTTTAATCCTACTAACTTAAACACAAAGACGAACACACGAAAGACAGTGTACCTATCGATTAGCAGTTTAGTTCAGGTAAGTAGGGTATCGAACACAGAGAACGGTAAACAATTAAAAGAAATGTTAATATTATCTAAATAAAACAAGTAATAGAAAGGGGGTTTCTCTAGTTTTGCAAGACTAGAAACTTAAACAACTAATACTTAGACTACTTAACTAAAAACTAGATAAGCAAAGATTCAACTAAATTCAATAACGAAGGGAACTTCTGTTTAGTTCAACTCAATTGATCCTATGGTTGATATTATGGTAATAGTGCAATGGATTAATTCTTCTATTGGATACCGATTCAAGTGATTAGCCTTGCGTTTGCTACGATAATCCTTAGAAAACAAACTAACTCAAACAGTGATCAGTTGTCTAATTTAATTTAATTCACTAGATTATTTATTCGGGTTAATTTAGACTTGTAATAGCTAACTAAATTGGTCCTTTAGTTAACCTCTTGCTGATGGTCATCAAACAAGCTCACACATGAATTTACCTATTTTTCTATTAATTTTAGTTTCACGTTCGTTAGTCCTAGACATATGATAAAGTGGTCACATAAACATATGGGGTTGATAATTAAAAGATGTTCATACTATTTAATTATCTTCCTATTAACAGAAAATTAGTTATGAGTTTTTAGCTCATATCTACAGCAAATAACAAACTAAAAACATATTCTAATGATTGAAACATGGTTATGCAAAAGATTAAGATAAAAGTAGTGTGTTATTACCTTTGATCTTCTTCCAATTTGATATCTAGGTTGAAATCTCGAAAACCACAGCTTCTAAGAACCCTTCTGGCCTCCAAAAATCGTCCTAAACTTCCCCCATTCGTTAGGGTTCGAATGAGAAGCGTTTTTATATATATATATATATTATGAAAACAGGGGCTACTCGGCGAGTCCAGTGACCTACTCGCCGAGTCCATCACTTAAAATCCCGTGTACGGCAAGTCAGCGCGTCTTTATCTTCTCGAATCTTCGATGCGACTCGCCGAGTAGTCGACCCTACTCGCCGAGTACCTTGTGTTTTTAGCATTTTCTCAAAACATGAAAGTCGTCCGAAATTGTGTCTAGTTTTCAGAACATTTTGAATCTCGTCAATCGGAGTTACGGTTCATGAAATATGGCCAAAACACTGATGAGGGGTCAAGCTGCCCAGCAACATCCTTCTTTCTTCAAAATCCAAGATCCAAGCTTCCAATCGCTAGTTCCGCTTCCTTTTCCACCTAGTTGGTTTAAAAAATAGACCTAAATTATGATATTAGGATTCTAAATTTGCTAAGGTTCAACCAACCCCCTACCCCACACTTATTTCATGCAATGTCCCCATTGCATGCTATGCATGATAAAGAAAAATACTAAAGTATAGAGGGAACTGGAACAAACTCCCCTGGGATAGCAGTGGCGAGGTTGATATCTCTTCTCTTCAGCTCCATCTTCAATTGACTTTAGACATGGGAACAACTCATCCATGTCTTGGGTGTCAAAATCTCGTGTGGTACAGTCTTTATAAAAACTCCAAATATAAGGGAAAAACTCTTGGAAATGCTCGGAAAATGATCTTCAAAGAATAGAACCAATGCCCATATCAAATGTCATCAAATCTTCAGCTCAAAAGTAAGAAGAATGAGCGACTCGTCGAGTAAGTATGTAGACTCGCCGAGTTGAAGCGTAAATGGCAGAAGAATCGTGAATTTTCACATGGACTCGGCGAGTCCATAAGATGCACTCGGCGAGTAGACCGCTGTGTGACAAAATTTTTATTCTGCCCAAGTCCGTTTCTGATGTATGGGGGTTATATAAACTAATAATTTCCCTCATTTTTCTTTAAGGAATAAACACTCTTTAACCCTTCTATCAATTGGACTCATAGCTTGACTCAAAACTTCGTTTCCTCTCTCGCCTAGACTCGATTTCTCACTTCGTTAGCCTTGACTCTAGACCCTCACATGCAATCCTAAGCTTCAAACTGAAAAGATCAAAACAACACACAAGTAATAGAAAAACGAAAACAAACATCAAAATTAAAATCCTAAATTACCCTAATAAACTAGAAGTTTAAAAAGAAAAAGAAAAGCAAACTCTAATGACGGGTTGCCTCCCGCAAGCGCTTCTTTTTGTGCGAGTCTTGAGCTGGACTCCCAACTTAATAAACTTCTAATAAACTCAATGCCAATCCATCCGTTGCATTGAGTATTTTCTTTGGACCAATTTGTAAAATTCGACTCTTTGCTTCAAAAATTGGCCAAACGAGCTTGAATTCATAAAACCCAAGAATATTGACAAGGGTTGGAACCGGTTGGATACTAATCATAAATGGATCGTGATTTAGAACTTTCTCCAAAGTTGGAATCGTCACCCCATGCTTCGAAACACAAACTGAAATTACAGGGGGCCATGTCGTGGTAATGGTCAAACCACAGCTTGGTTTCTGCAATTCAACTTGTTTTTGTTCTTCATCCGACCTCTCTGCTAGCAACCTTTCCAGCTCCTCCAAATCTCTTTCTGGATTAAATTCTTCATCTTGTAACTTTAGCTCTTGTGACTCAGATTTCTCTTGTGTGTTGGGCAAGATGTTATCTAACCATCTATCAAATTTCTTCAAATCTTCATCCGATCCACACTCCTCATCTTCTTGCTCAATTTCCTGTACTACTTCCTCAAGAAAAGCATCGAGATTTGGAAAATATTTAATAAAATAAAAATAAAATAAAAATTAAACTATATAAAAAAATAAAAATATATGATAACAATTAGCAAATAAAATTAACTATTTAGAACCGTTCCCCGGCAACGGCGCCAAAAACTTGATGTGTGTAAAACCAACTAGTTTTAATCCTACTAACTTAAACACAAAGACGAACACACGAAAGGCAGTGTACCTATCGATTAACAGTTTAGTTCAGGTAAGTAGGGTATCGAACACAGGGAACGGTAAACAATTAAAAGAAATGCTAATATTATCTAAATAAAACAAGTAATAGAAAAGGGGTTTCTCTAGTTTTGCAAGACTAGAAACTTAAACAACTAATACTTAGACTACTTAACTAAAAACTAGATAAGCAAAGATTCAACTAAATTCAATAACGAAGGGAACTTCTGTTTAGTTCAACTTAATTGATCCTATGGTTGATATTATGGTAATAGTGCAATGGATTAATTCTTCTATTGGCTACCGATTCAAGTGATTAGCCTTGCGTTCGCTACGATAATCCTTAGAAAACAAACTAACTCAAACAGTGATCAGTTGTCTAATTTAATTTAATTCACTAGATTATTTATTCGGGTTAATTTAGACTTGTAATAGCTAACTAAATTGGTCCTTTAGTTAACCTCTTGCTGATGGTCATCAAACAAGCTCACACATGAATTTACCTATTTTTCTATTAATTCTAGTTTCACGTTCGTTAGTCCTAGACATATGATAAAGTGGTCACATAAACATATGGGGTTGATAATTAAAAGATGTTCATACTATTTAATTATC